ACACACACACACACACACACACACACACACACACACACACACACACACACACACACACACACACACCAAAACCCACAAATAAACAGACAAAAATGAATAAAGACTTGATAGATAAATAGAAGGATGGATGGATGAAACTTACGACTTTCTGGGTAAATATAGTCATGTGTCGCTTAACGGCAAGAATACGTTCTGAGAAATGCGTCATTAGGCAATTTTGTCATAGAGTGTACTTACACAAACCTACATGGTATAGACACTACACCTCTAGGCTGCATGATATAGCCATTACAATCTTATAGAACCACAATGGTATATGTGGTCTGTCGTCAACTGAAACACTAAAAGTGGAAATTGGCACAACGATTATGGAGGGCACCTACCCTATGACCCCGCTATTTAATTACAGTATTACATTAGAGCAGTTTTTCCAACTGTGTGATATAATCCATTGTAAACAAAAATTAGTGAGTGAGAACAATTTTTAATGAGTTTGAAGAGAGTTATTACCATATTAACTTCTTGTTTGTTAACAAATTTAAAGTAAAATAGACATGATTTTTCACGCTTTAGAGACCATTTTTAAGAAGTAGAAGTGGGTTCCATAACTATAATACCTATATAAGAACGAAAAAAAATAGTTACTTATTAATATCATCGACGATAAAGAACCAGAATTTCCCATCGCTGTCATGTGGATAGAGACCATTCCTCACCCACCAAGTCCTGGTCTCCTGGTAACAGAACTCTGAGGGGGGAAATAAACAAAACTTCCTCCTTTCCTTCCCAAGGGAGAACAGCAGAGGCTTGCGGGAAATGTAGTCTCTCCATCCAATGACGTCACCAGCACAGGACCATGGGAAGGACTAACGAGTTTCTTCTGCGCATGTGCGCTCTGCCGACTTCCGCCGTCTTCCACCGGAAACTTTCGGTGCTGCAGGCCCCTCCCTGTTGCTTTCTAGAGTCAGGGATTGGATTCTGCGTCCCTGGAGGCTGCTAAGGGTGACAGATGAACCCCATGAGCGTGGGGAGGCCCTGGGGGCCGGGATGGGTGTTGCAGCGCCTGGTGGAGGCGGGACCCTGGTGGGACCCTGGTGGGCTCTGGCGGGCTCTGGCGGGCAGGGCCTGAGGTGACGGAGAGCCGCGGGACTGGGCCGGGAAGGGGAGACTCCTGCGGGGCTTTCCACGACTGCTTTGTCAGAAGACGGTGCACTGCCAGAAGGCCTGGTGTGCCCTCCAGGTGGGCAAAAGCTGATTCCAGAAGCTCCAGGAACGGGGCTTGGGGGTGGCGAGCGGTTCTGCAGACGGCGCGAGCGCGGGAGTTGAGCGGGTTGAGGTCACATTCCAGCTGTACCATGAAGGAGCGTGTTAATAATGTATGTGACATGTACTTTACACATGTGTAAGATGAGCATATTAACAGTACTATTGAAATATCTCCACATTCCCATGGAATAAATTGTGGAGTGTGTGCAGACCAAGTCTTCCTTTGTGGCACTTGTTTTTATGGGGTTTCTTGGAGTCTGTTCAAGAAGGGAAGTTTTTGATCTTCCGCACTGTATAGCTTTTCTAGCACTCCTGGTTTGAGTTTACAGAAGTTTATACGAGACCTAATTTTCAGGGACTGACTTTTAGGAGGGAGATTGGGGTACTAAGTGATGGTCTGGTTTTTTTTTTTTTTTTTTTTTGGAATAAAGTAGGTGTTACAAAATTTGAAGGAGGGCACCCTATGAATAGTTATCCCACCTGAAAGAACACCCCTCTGGCCTGAACCCCATTACTAGTTCTTCAGAGAAAAGGCCAGAGAGTTCCAGACAGGCAAAGGTCGTGGCTTTGCTTGGTCCACGCCATTATTGACCCTGCCTGGAGTGCACAAGGTTTGGTTGGCAATACCTCATACAATACCTGTCAAAGGCTGAGTGATGTTAGGAAGGTTTGGACTAGCTTTCAAAAGCTAGAGGTGATTTTGGCTGAGAAGGATAAGTGAGGGTCTAGGAAAAGTTACTCACTGAGGGGTGCTTGAAGGTGTAGTACCTTATACCTGAGAGGATCTGCCTACAGTGCTCTCTAAACACACTCTCATTCCTTCAGTCTTTCCTCATTGTTTCCAGTGTTTGAGTTCTTTCAAACCTATCATGTCACTAAATTTTGTATCTAGAGATATGCTGATGCTCCCGCTATTCTGATAGTTCTTCCTGATAGTGCAGGAAGGATTTGCCAAGGTACTTCTACCTTGTAAGAAAAATAAAAAAAGTTTAAAAAATTGAATATGAGATGTGACTTGCCCAGGGTCACATGATTTGTAGATGTCAGGCATTCCAACTTTTTGGCTAGTGTTATCCATTTTACCATTTCTATTGAAACAAGTGTTTGTTTACTTTTGAGATTATTTTTGCAGCACTGAAATAAACTTAGAACAAACAGTGCTTTAAATATCCCTTCCTTTTTTGTCCCACACACTTTCTGTGGATTATATCACCTCAAAGAATAAATAACACAAGTATCTCCCAGTTAATGTCAGTAATCAGTTCTTTAAGATCATAAACTCTGCAGGAAAATAATTTTACGTTATATAAAATGGGAAAGTTAGATGGCATCACACTTCTACTCCAAACTAGTTTCTTAGAATGTAAATACAATACAATGCTCACTTAAGTAGTAGATCCTTTTTATGTTTTTCTTGTTTAAGTAAACAGACTTTTTATACTGTAGAAAAAGTACAACATATGGGCCGGCCCGGTGGCGCACCGGAGAGTGCGCCACTTGGGAGTGTGGTGGCACTCCCGCTGAGGGTTCAGATCCCATGTGGAGACCGGTTCCCGCTCACTGGCTGAGCGCGGGGCAGGCGCAGCACCGAGGGTTGCGATCCCGTTGCCGGTCCCCGGTACGGGTGCGACACTGAGGGTTGCGATCCCGTTACCGGTCAGTAAAAAAGACAAAAAAAAAAAAAAAAAGAAAAAGAAAAAGTACAACATAGTTTACTAAAGTTCAAACAATTGCTTTTTGTGGTTCACATGGCCTCTATTAGTGGCAGAAAACTTATTGAAATCCATCCAGTTACACTCACTGTGATTTTCAAAACTTCTACGTGTAGTTGTGAAGTTCTATTGATTATATTTGACATGTAATTTAAGACTTTCTTTTCCATATAGTTTTGTAAAAAAACATAGCAAGTTCTTGTGGCTAGTATCAGTTAGCTTTTGCTGTGTTAGGAACCAACCAAAATTTACTGGCTTAAAGAAAACCAACGATTTTCTTTGCTTGAAGTTCTATCGATCTGTATTTTGGGGTGTGTTCAGCTGAGCAGTTCCTTTCCTAGTGTTGCCTGGATCACAAATGAGGGTTTAGTCATCTGGTGACTTAACTGTGGCTGATTAAGTTGGCTTCACTCAGATGTCCTGTGGTTTGTGCTGGCTCTTGGCTAGACCCTGTGTCTTCAACAGATTATCCCTAGGCTTCTTCACAAGATGACAGTGTGCAAGAGGCAAGCACCAGTGCCAGGCATTTTTTGAACCTATATTTGCATCACATTTTCTCATATCTCATTGGCCAAAGCAAGTCAAATAGTAAAGTGGAGTTCATTGTCAGAGCATACTGTAGGAGGTCTTGGATACAGGGAGAACTGTCACTGGGAAACATTACTGGAACTGTGTAACAAATATAAATTATGTACGTTTGTTTCCTATTTAATCATGGGCAAAAAATGTCGGGTTGCAACATGCATACTTTTGAGATGTTTAGGTATATATATGTGTTGTAGTGGAAACACTCGTATGGAGTCTTGTGTGGAATTCCTGTATTAGGGAAATAGTTAACTCTGCGCAAGTGTATTTCCATAACATTAACTTTAGTGAAGACATGTTTCTTTATTATTTGGCTTAAATTATTAAATTATATCTTTGGGAAATATTAATTGTTGCTATATCATATGTCTAATTGTAGATGTATCTTTCATGGGGTTTTTGTTGCCCCTTATTGAGGCATAAAGGACTATTCTCCCATAGGGAGGCTTTTTTGGAGGTTCTTTTCCAGCTCATGCGTAGAGGGTTTGGGGCAAGAGAATTCAGGATTGAGCCACACTAGTTCTCTCCTTAATCCACTCATTCACCTTCTCTCCCAGCTATGCACACAGAGTGCTCCATGCATTTCCAAGAGAAGAGGAATAAATCTTTGGTGAGTTTGCTTATTTATTCCTCACTTTGTTTTACATTGCATTTAATGAGCTTTATGGGGTCCATGAATTAAAATCTTGGGTTAAAGGAAATGTACATAAATAAGATAAAGTTGACACGTAGATATGGGCTGGTTATAGACCTTAGAGTCTCTAAGTTGAGTGCAGATTTGTCTCTGATATTTCTCATGTCATCTCAGAAAAGACAGTCATGTTTGGTATATGATTTGAATAGAACCTGAGAACAGAGTAGGCCACATTTTTGTGGAACATGAAGGAACACAAAGACTTGCTGGCATTGAAGTCTGAAACTCCATTGTCATTGGTTACCTAGATGATATAGTGAAAAGTTTTTCACTACCAACCTGGAGATAAACACTTAGCATTATGCAATGGAAACAGTTACCTAGTGCTAAAGTACAACTCACTAAGATATTTCTGAAGTTGCTAAAATGTATGGTTCTGGACAGCTTTTGGAAGGCTGTACTTGATTCATGGATAAAACCCGGAATGTCTGGAGGATTGAGTTGACCACAGGTCCTTAAGTAACTCTCCACATATATATATATTTTTTCTTTAGATATGCCTCACCTAGGAATTTCCATATATTTTTCAGTTCATCTGTACATGTAGGTTGTGCAGCATAGTATTCAAAGTTATATTTTCTGACAAGTGTTTCCACTGCTCATTTGCACTTTAACCCACTCAATATAGTCTTAATTCATTTCTTCTACAGCTCACCAGTAACCTAGATTGTAGTCCAATGCTCCTAACTTGGGTTTTCTGCCATATTTGAAAGTACTCTTCATGATCTCCTGGAAATTCTTCAGTGTTAGTTTCTATCATGACTTCACTGGTGGTTTCTTCTGTTTTTCTCTGAATTCTTCTACTTTCTTTTTCTTAACATAGCTCATCCAGGTGTTCCACTGGTTCCCCATTTGTCTCACGCTGCAATTCTTGACCGATTCAGCCCTCCGTGCTTTGGCAGTCCTAATTGTTTCACTCCAGCTTGGAGCTCTTACCCAGCCTTTTGGCCATAGATTTGACTTCCTATGGAATGCTTCTTTCTAGTTATCCAAAAGGAATCTCAAGCTCAACACATGCAAAATGAAAACCACATCCTTCTCTTTTCCTTTGCATATGGTATCTCTACCATCCAGCCAGTAACACAAACCACTAAAATGGGGTATCTCCTGGACTCCTCTCTTTCTCAGGTTTAATCTCATCTGGTGTCAAGTCCTGTTGCTTCTGTTCTTTTTATTTTATTCTAATGTCTACATATAGTTCCAATATAGGGGGATGAGCTGTTGGTGCTTACAAACATAGTAACTTTGTTATATTGGAAATGTAGTTCTTGGCAAAACCTGAAGGGTGTGTTTGCTGGGTGATGAGGTTCAATCTCTGGTGAATTGTGCTTCTAGTCAGCACATGTGACGATGGCCTTAGGAGTCCATGGGGAGAAAGCATTCAGGAGTTAATGGGACACATTTGAACAAGGGTCACTTAAAAGATTTTCAAAGAATAAAAAGAAGAAGCACAGATTTTCATGATGTGTACCTTCTGCTTATGTAAATTTCAGTTAGTGAGTCTCTTTTTTTTTCTGGTCCGCTGGCTGGCATAGGGATCTGAACCCTTGACTTTGGTGTAATCAGCACTGTACTATAACCGACTGAGCTTTATGTTAGTGATTCCATCTGTAGGTTTTTATTCATGTACATTGTATGTTTGTAGTTCAAGAAGGTCTGTCATGTTTTTAAACTCTTTAAAGATTGTATTTAATTTTTATCCTGTTTCTGGTAACCACTTAAAAATGATTAGGGAAAAATGGATGTGTGCATCAGTAATAACTACATTTATGGATGAGAACTGTAGTTAATTGATAAGAACAAAAAGTGACAACCTAATTAACTGAACATTTTAAATTCACGATTATACCTTTGGATCTAACATAAAACGTGAAAGTGCTTTATTCAATTATTTTGAACCTAATATTTAATCTAAACCTACACACTCCATGTTTCAAATCAAGGTACTACGTATGGTCTCTAATGACTTTTTTGGTATTCCAATTATCTGCTGTGCAGCAAAGTACCACAAAACTTAGTGGCTTAAAACAAAAATTTCTTATCACATGTCACAGTGTTTTGGGTCAGTAAACTGGACAAGGCAATGTGGATTGGCTGTGGTGTGATGTCAGTGGTCTGCCTCAGGGCAGTGTGGTCTGCAACACAGTCTCTGGTCTCAGGTGGAAGGATACTAGTGGCTGGGGACATTGAGCAGCATCCAGCCCTTTCCTTGTGGCCGTGTTGGACTGCTTCACAGTCTGGCAGTCTCAGGGTAGTCAGGTTTGTCAGGCTTCTCCCAGAGCCAGTGTCCAGGAGGCCCAGGCAGAAGCTGTGAGCCTTCTGATCTCCCCTCAGTAGTCCCAAAGCATCTCTCCCACCACATTCTTTTAGTCAAGCACATCACTGAGACCAGTCCCTGTTTTAGGGGAGGGCTATTAAATTTTACTTCTCAATAAAAGGGTTTCTAAGAATTTGCAAAAATCTTTAATAAACCAGTTTGCCCTCTGGCCACAAATTATCTGCATTTCTTCCAGAAGCAAAATATACTTTGCCCACTTCATGAGCCCCAGAAATCTTTCCCTATTATGACACTGGCTGAAAGCCCAACTAAATAAGGTGCTGGTGGCCTGTCAACTGCCCCTCCACATATGCCCAGTACGTAGTTAGGAGACTGATGTGAACATGTGGGCACTTCCCATCAGATAGTATCAGCAGGGAGGGGAGATGTCCTGCTGGCACTGGTCTCAGCAGGTATTTATGCCCGTTGGGCACCTGCTCCAGTTCTTTAAATTGGGCCCAGTCCTTCTCCCTGGAGAGATGCCTCATGCCTCTTCATTCTGCCCTTTGGGCTGTCACCATATCTATCAATTTTTTTTTTTTTTTTTACTTAAATGCCTGGGTTTGCAGTTGACCAGCTTTCTCTACTTTTTTCTTGCTTATAGTAAGTTGGGGATCTAGTGGGCTCCTTTTCTTTGACTCTGGCCTTTGCTACAAGAAATGATTCAGTGTAATCAAGTCTTTAAAAAGTGCGTGCTTTTTAAAACACTAACAAAATCCATTAGACCAAAGTTGCCTCAACACGCTCTCTGAGTCAGGCTCTTTGCTCTCTGGCCTCCTGTTCTCTGCAAGACTGCTATGGGATAACAGCCTTAGAATTCCTACTGTTTACCAGGTACTATTTATGTTTCTTACCCTAATATCCTTAGAATGCTGAAAATAATTTTGATTTTTAATCTTTTTTTACGTAAACACTGGGTTTGATCCTTGCCACAAAGCCATTTCTTACTTTAAAATGCTTTGCTGGGAAAAACTGGGGATGAAAACTGATTTTATTGCAAACCCAGCAATTCTGTTTGAAAAGTGAACATTTTTCTTTAGTTCACCCCTCTCCTCTCATATTTTCTCAAAGGCAGAGAGAGGAGGCCAGGTAGCACTTTCCACAGTCTTCCCAGAAACCTCCTTTGGCAGACACCTGAGATGGTGAGATGTCCTTTCGGTTTTCCATGTTATGGCAGGTAATACTGTGGCCCCAGTTCTCCAGTACATAACCTCCATGCCTTTTTCTCCAGTTTACGATGAGATTTTTTTCTTACTGTCCATTAGGCCTTCACCTACAGTGTTGATGCCCTTCCACCTTGCACGATGGTCTCCTTGAGGCCCAACGTATGCTTAATCTCACAGACAATGCCACATGTTGTAGCTTTTTATTTATTTTTTGTCTATTTTCCTCTTTAGTCCTGTTGTTTTTTTCTTTCAGGTACTTTGAGAGGCTCTGTGTTTAGGCACAGGCACATTTATAATTGTTACATCATTCTCACATATAATTCTTTTATTGTTGTGAAAGTGCTCTCTTTTTTTCCGGTAATATATTTTGTGCTGAAATCTCTTTTGTTTAGTATTAATATCTCTACTCAAGTTTTTTATGATTAGTGTTTGCATAGTATGTCTTTTTTCATCCTCTTACTTTTCAGTCTGTTTGTGTCTTTGTATTTAAAGCGTGTCTCTGTGGATAGCATATTGTTGGGTCTTGCTTTACTATCAAGTCTGGAAGTCTCTGCCTTAAGTAGAATATTTAGTCCACTAATATTTTAAGTAATTATTAATAAGGTTGAATTTAGATCTTCTGTTTTGCTCCTTATTTTCTAATTGTTTTATCTGACTTGGTCCTATGATTTTTCTTTTCCAACTTCTTTTGGATTAATCAAATATTTTTTCATATTCCTGTTTGATTGCTCTATTGGCATTTTGAAATAATTTTTAACAATTATTTTATTTTTAATTTTGGTAGAAAACACATAACACATAATTTACCATCTTAACCATTTCTTAACCTTTATGTACTCTTAAGTATATTCACACTGATGTGCAGCAGATATTTTATCTTGGAAAACTGAAACTCTATACACATTAAATTACAACTCTCAATTTCCACCTCCTCTCAGACCCTGGCAGCCCAGTCCTGGGCAATCCTGTTGCAAATGAGAAGATTTCCATCTTTCTTAAGAATAAATAATACTCCATTGCATGGGTAGGCCACATTTTCTTTTTCCATTCATTATTACTGAGTTTTTATTACAAAAATGGAGGTATTTTTTAATATTGATTTAATTTTTGCTGTTAAAAACAAGTTTTTAGATTGTTGGATTCTTTTAAAAAAGAAAACCACTTTATTTTGTTAGAGTAGTTTCAGTTTCACAGCGGAATTAAGAAGAAGGTACATAGATTTTCTATTTCTATTTTTACTCCTACCACCACATATGAGGGTACTTCAAAAAGTTCAGAGGGCCGGCCCCGTGGCTCACTCAGGAGAGTGCAGCGCTGATAGCGCCAAGGCCATGGGTTCGGATCCTATATAGGGATGGCCGGTGCACTCACTGGCAGAGTGTGGTGCAGACAACACTGAGCCAGGGGTTACAATCCCCTTGCTGGTTAAAAAA